CCCCCCTTCCAGATATATTCCTCTTTAATTACCTTATAAAACGGAAACCTGTCCAACGCGGAAACTGAAAGAAAAATCTGCTCCCTTCCGAGAGTTTCACCTGTCTAAGACGAAAAATGCTTTGCCCGCTGAGCCCTAATTTGAAACAAAACTCTCAAGTTTGGTTCCGCCGGCTCTAAAGTCAACGCTATGGCCATGCCGCTGGCCGAAGAAGGGGAGTAGGGGTGCAATTTGGGTGTAGATGTTACCCTAGACGGTCAGAGAACGTATAGATGTTACCCTAGGCTTTCTCAGATCTGAGAAAGCCTAGATGTTACCCCGTCATGTGAGCCCTGAGTGATGCAGATGGTCAGTGTAGTGTGGGTGTGAAATCTCACGACTGCCCATGATGAGAGTGCACGAGTAGCGAGCCACTACGGAAACTTTCTTGGGTAGCCAGAAGCCAGAGGTGTGAACTTAGATTGACCAATGCCAGCCGAGGAAAGAGTTCTTCGAATCGTTGTTACATGATGGCAGTGAGGGGTGGCATTGGTGAGTGGGACTAAGGGTGGAAGCAAAGGAGATGTTCAAACGTACCTGTTTTAATAGGTCAAACAGTGGTCCTATGAAATGCAAGCACTGGTGGTAATTGGATAAGTAAGACTGACGCATGTCATTATCAGAGAGGATAGCAGCTGAGAGGTGTGAAGTTTTGACCACTGCTTGCCGATAGGACAAGCGATCCTTGATCCCACCGGCTGGGCCTTTGAACTCCCCCCCCCCAAAAAAAAACCCCCTCCATCTCCCCTTAAATTCCCCTGTCTAAGATAGAAGAAAACAGAATGCATGGTAATATATCCAAAAAAGCAGCAAACCCTAGATTCTAGTTGTAATCTCATTAGCAAAGGTGAAAAGATCAAACAAGTCCAAGAGTTTTAATATCTAGGATATATGATACATCTGACGCCAAATGTTTCAGCAACAGAAATGTGGTTTCTTAGGAGACTGCTAAGAGTATCGTGGAAGGAAAAGAAATCAAATGAAGTAGTGCTTGATGAAGCCCACGTGGGACGCTCAATGTTAAAAACAATTAGGAAACGACAAATGCAGTTTTTGGGACATCTGAATAGACATAAGGGTTTTGAACATCTAGCTCTCACCGGCAAAATTGAGAGCAAGCGAGGCAGGGGTAGGCCCAGAACAACATACTTAGGGAACCTAAACAAATGGGTAACAGGGAAAGATCAGGGAAACGTAGCTTTTTGATGATGATGAAGACGGAAAATGTCTAAGACGGAATTTTTCTTCTCAGTCAGTACCTTAGGCCTCATATCAACTGGCGGGGTGCCTTAAGTTCAGCGCTTGAACATGTCCCTGGATAATAAATCTGTTGAATGAAACTGCGGAGGCGTTGGGGGCGAGTGGTGGCGTTGTTGGAGACTGTAGCGAATTGAAAGAAGGTAGCTAAATTAATGTTGCCTTGACGGGACAAGAATAAACTTAGGAGGTCCTTGCATAAACCCCACGTCCCGGCTCTCGCATGAGATGAACGCTGTGAGCAAGATTCCTCGCAGCTGCGGGGGGCTGCCGCGGCGATAGGCCTGTAAAATCTGCTGACCACTGGACATGACGTGTTTGACCAATCATAAAGCAGGACCTACCACTTGGCCCATCCTCCCCCAAACATTCCACCCTTCTGTCACCACTTATCTTTGCGGCTTTCTTGCTCTCTCGTCTCGTTCACCGTGAACAAGTCACTCAAAAAATCGGTTGCGTGTGAACATCGTATGTTGTAAAGAGAGTCTCAGATGGCGAGTTTCAGAAAAGTGGGACCTGCGCCCTCGGAGAAAGTAAAATTGAACACTCCCCCCCTCCCC